TCTCTCAAATCCATGTTATAAGTTCTTAAATTATATTTTTCCAGTTCTCTTTCTCAAATACTCCCTTTAGCTCTTAATGACAAGAAATTCCTCATTCTAGCTAGAGCTTTCTGGTTTGTCTACTAACATTTTGTTAAATAGAGGAGGTTGTTCATAACCATCCAAGTCAGAGGTATGGATGTGGACTTTAGTAAACTTCGAAGATCATTCCCTCTCACAAAGGGTGATTGACTTTTAATCTTTTAGTTACAGAATGTCCATAAATGATTTTGATTTAAATGAGGGCTTTATATGGGAACATACTCATAATGGTGCTCTTGGTTCATAACTTGAAGACCTTCTGAATTTCCTTAATGTAAAGGGCTATTTCATTAATTTATTTTTTCTTTGTTTCATTCATTCATTTATTTATTTGTGTATTTGTTCATTTATTTTTGTTTTTGTTTCCCTAGTACATAGCTTATAGTACAGTACATAGTCTAGCACATAGCATATGCTTAATAAATGCTCATAAATTGATTGATAACCTACTTGTTACTGTTCATTTCCTCCTTCAATTACTTTGTATTGACTTATCTATCTACATCTTGTAGTGGGGCAGTTAGGCAGGCATAAGGAATAAATTGCTAGATTTGGAGTCAGGAAGACTCATCTTCCTGAGTTCAAGTCTGGCCTCAGACACTTAGAAGCTTGTATAACCCTGGGCAAGTCATTTAACCTTGTTTGCCTCAGTTTCCTGATCTGTCAAATGAGCTGGTGAAGGAAAAGACAAACCACTCCACTATCTTTGCCAAGAAAATCCCAAATGGGGTCACAAAGAGTCAGAGAAGATAGAAAACGACTGAACAACAATGACGATACATGTTGTATCCTTCTACCCCTCATCAACGCCGACACCACAATAATATACTATCTGTGAAGGCAGAAATGCTTTCAATTTTTGCTTTGTAACTATAGCATTTATCATAGTGTGTGGCACATGGTTTATTTAATAAATGTTTGTTGATTGATTGTTGGTTGACTTGTACCCCAGTTGTTAGTAATCTTTCGTGGCACAGGGGGATAGAGTGTTGATCTTGGAGTTAGGAAGACTTAAGCTTGAATCCAGCCTCAGACATTTACTAGTTATGTAAGCCTAGGCAAGTCACTTAACCTTTCTCAGCCTCAATTTCCTCATCTGCAAAATGGGGATAAAAGTAGCACCTAGCTCATAAGGCTGTTGTAAGGATTGACTGCAATAACAGTTTTGTAAATTTTAAAGTGCTATATATAAACATTATCCAGTATTAGTAGCAGTAGCAGTAGTAATCATAGTGGCAGTAGTAGTAGTAATAGTAGTAGTATCTATCCCTCTTCAAATAGCTTTGTATGTACTTATCTGTGCCCCCTAACTGCCATATATAGAGGCACCGAAACATAATGGATAGAGTTAGGCTTGAAGTCAGGAACACAAGGTTTTAAATCTCAACCTTTGACATTTGAAATCTGTATGGCTCTGCATGCCTTAGGTAATTAATTCCCTAGGACTAACCCACCAAATATTATTAGATGAGCTGTCTATAAGCTATGTTGCCTGAGGAAGTTCCTATACTAGGAATTCCTCACACTAAGGGAATCACAGTTTCTTCCCATATTTAGGCATTTCATGAATGCTTATTTTTAAACATGCTTTTTGCTTTTCATTCACTACTTCTATTCCCTTCCATTGCATCTTCTAAGATTTTCTTCTTCTTACTGTAACCTCAACTATTTGTTAAAAAAAAAAACCTCATTTCCCCTGATTTGTGAGCTTTGTTTTTAACATTCCAGGCATATCTCAGCGATCATTCATAGCCATTTTCAAGGTTAGCCTTCTGCATTCTGATGTCTCGGCTATATACTATTTGCTCCACAGATAAAGCACAAAATGAGGGCAAAAACAAACAGTTCATTTAATCCACTGCTATGTCAATTTAGCATTTCCTCTATTGAAAAGCATGCGCGCACACGCACACACACACACACACACACAAATCCATTTTGTCTCAATCTGGTTTCATATTCCCCAAATGATCTCATCCCCATAATTTCTTTTCCTAGCAAACCATTCAACAATGCAAAGATCTTTGGTCAACAGTAACTTGTGTTCCTGCTATTTTTTTTGTTTTCCCTTCTTTTCTTTCGTCTCATTACCCTTCATTATTTTTAGAGAACCACAATGCAGAGTTTCTCTCTCCTTGTTTAGACCTTTCAAACTTCTACACAGTATCACATCCTCCCCTTAGGCATGAACTTAATCCAGCAACAATGACTGAGCTGCTTAAATATTTCTTCATAAGTTGATCCTTTGTTCCCCAAATTTAGGAGGGAAAGGGAGGTCTAGATCTGTGGTTTTATTAGGGTAGGGAACTCCAAGTAAGGAAACTCCCTCCACCAATGCAGACTTAGAACTCTTCTTCAACTTAGAGTCTTAGAGAGTTGTCAGGAGATACTGAGAGTCATTTGCCTAGCATGTTTCCAAGATAGGATTGAAACCCAGGTCTTAATATAGTTCAGGTGGTCTCTCCCATTAGACTGTGGGCTTCTTGAGTTTGCAGGCTCTCTTTTGCCTCTCTTTATATCCTTAGTGCTTAGTGCAGTGCCTAGCACCATAGTAGGCACTTAATAAAGGCTATATTGTTGACTGGATGCAGGCACAGGAGCTGAGCATTCTTTTTCACATATCTGTAGAAACCTAAACATGAAATCTATTCTGAGATTCCCACTGGGAAATTATTGGTAGGAATAAATGAACCAAAGAGGGGGCAGTATTACAGATAAATCAGAGCTGGTTCTGAGTCATGGGTTACATATATAATCATTTTGGTATAGCTGGGATCTAGCACGTGCACAGACACTACCTCTGCCACCACCATCTTGCTTTCCCATATGGAAAGGCTGGGAGTCAGCTCTCAGGACAGCTGTGATGATGTGAAAGGGAAGTGGCTTGGAGAGACTGGAGCATGCATGGACATTCTGTAAGTGGTTCCAATCATCTAACCAGACGCTAAAGAGGAAGCCTTTTAATTAGCTGTGAAGGGGTTCAAAAAGGCCTTTCAGAGTCAGACACTTCCCATGTTGGCCTCATTTGGTAACTCCTTCCCTCGTAGGGACTTGGATGGCCCCCAAGGAGAGATCCTATTGCAAGGGGAAAAGCTTTAGTGTCTTCTCTCTTCTGAAACCATGTAGCCCTGAGAAATAGATCTCAGTTCTTGGCCTTTTGGTGTATTCCCATTTTCTATTCTAAGTTAAGGGAGTAGAGTCTCTAAACTTGGCAGTTTCCAAAGGATGAGAGAGCGAGCCACAGGAATCCACAAATCCAGGTAGGGTTTTGTAGCCAATGCAACAATGATGCCCTGAAAAGATAGGAGTGACCTTTGGAAGTATTTGGGACCCCAGCTCAGTGGTAACTGAGACAAGGATTCATTTGGCAAAAGTGATGCCTTTAGCTGTGAACTTGATGGGACTGATACTATGTAAGAATTGATCTAAGTTTTGAGCCAACTCCCTCAGAGACCAAAGTAGTATAAAGGAAAATATGTTCCTAAGGCATCGGGGGAAGGGATGTTTGCACATTTATTCTTGGTCTATCTGAAGTAAATATCCTTTTGCAAAGGCTACTTAGTGATTACAGTTATCCTTTTTGCATCACGACTTTTCCCATAGCAGTTTTGATAAATCACAGGTCAGAATAAAAAATTGAATGGGAATTTTTTGAGAGTTTTGTGGAAGCCATAGATGACACATAAAGGCCAGCAGATGAAACAGAAAAAGTTTAGAAACTCAGAAGTGCATAAAATATGTGTATTGTATTGTATTTTATCTTTTAATACCATAAATATACACAATTTCTTGTTTAAAGTTAAAATAAGTAAAAAGTTAGTTTGCAAAAAGATCATGAAAGCCAGCAGAGGACACACATGGATTTTCCAGATGGCAAGGGCACCGCACCCATAACCCCCACAATATGGAAAGGATAACTGTACATGGAACTAGGATATTAGTCAGATCTGATCATGTCACCCCACTACTTAATAAACTCCAGTGACTTTCAGGAACAAATACAAAACGCGGTTTCTCATTCAAAACCCTCCATAACCTAGCCCCCTTCTGCGTTTCCAGTCTTCTTATACCTTACTCCCCAGCACTCTTTGATCCAATGACACTGGTCTCCTGGCTGTTCTACCAACAAGACACTCCATCTCTCCACTCTGGGCATTCTCTCTGGCTGTCCCCCATGCCTGGAATGCTCTCTCTCCTCCTCTCTGACTACTGACCTCCCTGGCTTCCTTTAATTCCTGACAAAAATCCCATTTCTACATGAAGCCTTCCCCAACTCCTCTTAATTCCAGTGTCTTTCTTCCATTAATTATCTCCTTTTTATCCTGTATATAGCTGTCTTGTCATATATTTATTTGTATGTTGTCTACTCCATTAGATTGTAAGCTCCTTGAGGGTAGGGGCTGTTTTTTGACTATTTATTTGTATTTCCAGAACTTAGCACAGAGACTGGCACATAGTAGACATTTAACAAAATGTTCATAATTGATTGATTGATTGAACACAATTTGTGGGGATTTAAGCCTCTGAGAGTAGAGACACCCCACAAATACCATCAGGGTAATTTAGCACCCAATCCAAAGGGGCAGATGTAGCAGCCTGACTATGGGAGAAAAGGCTAGTATATACATGGCACATTGGAAAATTTTTTTCTTTGTTTTTAAAAAGCTCCGGTTTAAAAAAAGTATCAAAATATACAAGAAAATAACAACAACAACAGAAATGATGTAGATTTAAAACGAAAAACTATAAAGTATAAAAACAATTCCCAAACGTCAACTAATTAGAATGCTCACGAATTATACTTTCCTACAGGTGGACTTCAATTGTCTTAGATTAAGTACTTTAATTTCTGCTATGCTTATTAATTATGTCACTTTATTACTAGTATCGATACTATGAATAAGTAATGCAACACTTACCATCACATGGGCACGTATATACCAAGATATAGTAATAGTCTTAAAAAGGAGTGTTCTTAGAGCAAGGCTTTGACAAACTTCTGATCCACAGGTCAGATCCCATCCTCATCCGAATTTCATTCAGCACAGGGACAAGGGCCAAGAGATAATACACTTTTAGTTGCAAAAATATACTATGCCTTTAAAAATCTTGAGTGTCAATGCCCTAAAAGAAAAAAGACAAAAAAGGAGAAAAATGTACTTCATACAATTTTCCATGCCATGCTGCCTGCTACTCCAGACTTCTCCGCATAAAGACACTCAATTTCTCACCCTGGGTACCCTAAGACTCTGATTGGTGACCATTCACCCTAGCTTGCCTGGTACCAGGTCCGCCCAACCTCAATCTCTAGCTATCTCTATGCCATCCATCCATTGACATTCCTCACATCCCTTTCCAACTCTGTCTCTGAAAACAGTAATCAAATCACTACTACCATTTCTGGAAAGGACCTGTCAATCAAATTGCCTTATGACTTCAATCACCATTCCTCGAACTTCCAGGTCCAAACACTCCCCTCTACCACCACTCCCCAGTAGATGTTGTTTTCCCCTATTAGAATGTAAGTTCCTTGAGGGCAGAACTGTCTTGCTGTTTACATCTGTACCCCCAGGACAGCACAAGATCTGGCAGACAGTAAACACTTCATAAATGCTTTTTATTCATTCATTCATTCTCTATGGTAAGTCTTGCTGCTTTCCAAAATCAATAAATGTATATTATATATGAACATAAATGTATGTAGTTTTATATTTTTATTGTTTTACAAAATAATTTCCATATTATTTCAACCATAGATCACATTTCCCTCCTGAAGTTAACTCATATCATACATTATTTTAGCGCATAATCATATTCTCATTGCCTTTCCTTCGTCCTGATACTATTCTCCCCTGGTAAAAAACCATAGGATTTGCAGTTGGCCCACCAACTTTTTTTCCCCACATGACTCTAATTCATACTGGTAAATAAGCTGTCAGCCACCATTCTAAGGGCTGGATTCCTTCCCCATTGTTCTGCCAAAGGTCATGGGTAGCCTCCAGCAATTTAACTATCATAATAAGTATATTTTATAGGGTAATTTTGTCTAGTAGAAAGAGCATGGTATTGGAACTGGTCCCACAGCCAGGGAGACCTGGGTTCAAGTCATACCTCTGACATATATATACACATATATACATACATACATACATATATATATATATATATTTACCAGATATGTGACTCTGGGGCAAGGTGATTAACCTCCAGCAACTCTCTTAAGACAGTAAGTTTCAGAGGCATTGAATACATTGGAAGAGGAAGATTCCTCTAGGGAGTTTGCTTTACTAGTGAAATCACATGTTCAGTCCCTATTCCCTAATTTTGTGTAATTTCTTATATATGCCTTTGTACTTTTTTCCCTTTTAAAAATAGCTCATTCTAGGAGGGTGGTCTTTATTTAAACTAACTAATTAAAAAAAATTTATGTTGTCTTCAGTCTTTCCCTTTGAATCAGTAGCTCCAATAGGGAAGGAAAAAAAAAAGACTTTTCTAACATTGTTTCAGAGATTGGGCCCTACTTAGTTTGTGATGACAATAGCATTAGGCATAAGCTGAAAAAATAGCTAGCATAATAACACGCATATAGTAGGTACATAATACATGTTTGCTGAATAAATAAAAGAATGAATGAATGAGAAAAACAAACTAAGGTAAGTCACAAGGCCCTGCAAAAGAGTCCTTGGTGTAGATTATGTGTTCTCCAAATCAACCTCCCCATTAGGATAGAAGCTCCTTCAGAGGCTATGCCTCATCTATTTCTTTATTTCCAGTGCCTTGCACAAATCAGATAGTTGCCAAATATTTGTTGAATTAAATGAATGATGCAGAAGACTTATGGAATTCTGGTGATATTCAGTCACCTTACCACACAGCAGAAACAGTTCTTGTTGTGACTTTTAACTTGCACCCAAGTCCTAAATGTTTAAAAAGCATTTGACTTAGCTACGCAAAATACCACCTAAAAGGTTCATCTCCAACAAGTTGTCTCCTGTGCCCATGTCAAAATCATACGTGGTTCTTTGAATGGTATAACAATATCCTCTGGTGCTGACAAGCCCCTGATTACTAATAACAATCAAGGCCTCAAAGAAGACACATGCTCATCAAAGGTGGTTGCCACTGTCATGAAGGAGATCCAGGGCAGAATCCAAATCAAAGAGGAATTCCCTATTGTGGTAGGATCCTCTAAATGCTGCTGTTTCTGTGATGTTGTGTTTATTTCATCATGCGCCAGAATATTTCAGGGCCTCCTCAATGAGAAGCATAGCCATTCAAAGGCTTTGGCCTTACCAGCCACACAGGCAAAACCAAATGGATAAAGAATATGTACTGTCCGGACTATGGTATTCAATTGGATGCACAACACATAGAGATGATCCATCAATATAAACCTCTTAGACAAACACTTCAGAAGGATAATTTCTGGGCCCAGAACTGAAGAGAAGAGCATTTGGGAAACTGTGCAAATATTTTAATGACCCCAGGTTTCTCTCTGAAACAAAAGCCGATTGTCAACATCAACACTTGTTTGGCAATTTTTATGGTTATTAATAATAAAATAGTATAATTTTTGAAGAATTAAAATTGCAAGTCTCTCAAAGGGCAATGGAGAATTACATGGTAAATGTCAGTAGGCGGTAGTACATTACCAATTTAAAAACCTTCACAGAAAGGATGTCATAAAAATACCACCAGAAATAATACTGACTAGAAAAGGATATGGGCTTGCCATGTAGTGACAGCGAGAGATAGCCAATGGATAGATCACATGCTTCATTGGTATCTACATAGTGTCAAGATATCTGGAAGGACCCAGCACATTGGGCAAATGATTCTTCATAAATGATTTAGAGGAGGGCATGGAAGAAAGCTGTACAGGATGAGGTAATAATAGTAGATGAGTTGCAATATGCACCATTGGAAGAAGTGTCCCCATTAATGAGATCATAGATTCATCAAAGTATTCTATTTGGAAGTAAATAATTTCAAAAAAGTAAAATTCAAAAGCAAATGCATTGTTGTACCTATAAGTGGACATTTACTTGGATTTAATGATGACCAAAATAATGTGGCATTCTTCTTCCTACCACCTAGTGAAATAACAAAGCTTTCCTTTTTCATTCAGAAGTATCCTGTTTCTAGGGGAGAGATACAGAGACAGAGAGAGATAGAGATAAGAACTTGAAATCAGTAGAGATTTAGGGTTGAACCTCACTTTTGACATTTACACTGTGGTCTTAGGCAAGTTAGTTACCTCCTCTCAGCCTCACATTCCTTATCTGTAAAATGGGGCTAAAAATGCCAATGGTATTCCCCTCACAGGGTTATAATAAGAATCCAATGAGCTAATGCATCTAGTCTTTTGCAAACCTTAAAACGCTAAACAGGTATTAGTTATCACTCCTTTTATTGCCTTGAGGATGGAAACTTCCTTGCCCAGGCTTCATGCCTTTCAGCTAAGCTAAAAGCAGAGCAGATTTCTTTTCTCAACAACAAGCTTTATTTATGGCACTTTCTGACCATACAGAAATTTTGTCTCTTCTAGGGACAACCTGAAATTATTACTCTTCATCTAGCAATGGCCCTCAGTTTTAGTTTACTTCATTCCTTCCATTAGTGATATTCTCAGTCATTTTATCCTTTGCTACTTCATAAGAATTGCTGTCTTTCCTCAAGAGTTATTTTCTTTATGACAAATTTCAGGAGAGAGAAGTCTCTAGCAAAAGTTTTAAGTGATCAAGAGTTCCTGGTCAAGGGATAGTTATCCTTTGTGGGAATATGGGAGAGAGGTAAGAGCACTGAATTTGGAATTTAAAGGACCTGACTTTGCATCCTGATTCTGGGTGACCTTGGGCAGGTCACTTGAAATCTCTAGCCCTCTGCTTCCTCATCTACAAAAAGAAGGGGTTGAACTAGGTGACCTCTAAGGTCTATTAGAATAGATTAAATCTAAGACCCTATGATCCAGTTCTGTGAAACAACCAAGTTCCACATGGTTGGGTGGATACTGCATTTCCTAAGTCAGAGAACCCCAAATGACAGAGACGATGGGGGAATCACATCTCTATAGTTTAAATGACTGGAGGAATAATCAGTTACATCACCACTGGTGTGGAATACATATCCATTAATTCATCTAGGGACCATGGTGTTCCCAAGAAATGTAACAAATAATGTAGTTGACGATATTCTAGACATCTTAGGGGAGAAGGCACAGAGAATTGTCCCTGTAACAGGTTGCCAAGGTAAGAAAAGTTTCTTCTGGTTTTTTAAAGACAAGCAACAACTGTCCTTCTGGGATGCTGGGACTGACAAAGATAGAAGGATGGAAGAGGTGACCTTTTGAGGGTCTCACTAGCCGTGTGTGTGTGTGTGTGTGTGTGTGTGTGTGTGTGTGTGTGTGTGACTCTATTCAGCTAAGAGGGAGTGATTACAAATAGTGAAACTAATAAATCCAAAGAATAAATAGTATATATGCAGGTAAAATAGAAACAAAGAAGATGCACTTCAAGGTAGCATAAAACATAAAATATATTCAAGAAAAGGGCTCAAAGACAGAAAAGTGTGGCATATGAGGATTCTGGCTCTTGAGAAAAGACAATCTTTCTTGTGAAGTATCAGAGTTTATCACTTCTATAAAGAGTAAGGTGAACTAAAACCAAGGACCATTTCTAGATGGAGAGTTAGATAGTTTAATCTCTATGTCTTTAGAAAGGGTTAGATGGAAAGACCAGTGAATGCAGCAGAACTTACAATATTCTTGGGTCTTCTTGCAGAAAACTACAGAAGGCCAGTGTCATGTCTTGATAGTGAGAACCCAACTGTCCAGCTCTCAAAAATTCTGAAGACTGGTTTTGTTTTTCACAATTTCAACGACAACAAGAAAATACTAGGAGTCTCACTCAATCTGCTGATGGAAAATAGGGCAGGGCGAGGGAACTGAAAAGAGTCCCTCCTCCCATCCCTTTCTGGGATGGAAATGAGACACCATTTTGGAATCCTGGCTGTGCTGAGCTAATCCTTTTCTGAACCTTAAAGAATGTCAAAGAAGGTTTGGTGCAGCTTACAGTTTAGGCCAAAGCCTACAGGAAGAAACTAATGGGACTGTCATTTCACCTAAA